CGGGTCCCTGGGCGGCCACCCTGGCCCCAGCCCCGCCAGGGCGGAGCATCGCGTGTCAGCTGAGCATGTGGCAGAGTCTATCAACAAAGGCGGCGGCTGGCAGGCTCGTGCTGGAGGAGCCCTCCGTGCCACGGACTGGAGGCTGCCCTGCTCCAGAGCAGCCGCTGCCGTCTGGGCTGGGCCTCCAGGCACTTAACCCTTCCACTCCGGGCTGGCTTTCTGGATGACTGCCAAGGGAGAGGAGCCTGAGGCTAGATCAGAGCTACACAACTACTACGAAGCAAAGGCATGCCACCTGGAAGGGAACGGGGAACGCACACAGTCCCTACCTCTGCCCCTCACCCCCAGCACAGCGTCCTGAGTGTGTGTGTGTGTGTACACGTGTGTGTCTGGGAATCAAGAGAATAAATAACTAATAATGACTGGGCAGCCACTGAGGTTAATTGGGCAACTTTAGGTGACCCGAGAGAGTTATTGGCGGTAGAAGGTTTGACTTGAGGGCCAACCATTGCCAGCACCAGGGGAAAGAGGAATTGACCTTGGGTTTCCTGAGAACAGGCCACTGAGGGGGAAGGGGTGGTGGTTAGATATGGTTGGTGCCCTCTGCCAAGGAGTTCTGAGGAAAATGTGGGACAGACCTGGTCCTGGTAGGCTCCCATGGTTCCTTAGTGATTAGGAAGTGATTATGCTTAGATAATAAGGCAGCTGGCTGCCTCCTCCAGCCTGTTTCAGTCCCTATTCCCTCTTAATTGTTTGGTGGAAACTTGGCTTAGAGTTTCTCCTTCAGTCCATGTGTGGACTCACTCTGATTCTCGGTTTCAGTCTCTTGGCCTCCTTCCTGCCCATTCACTCCACCCTGGTTGTACAGGCCTGTGGCTGAGCCCAGCTCCCAGCTTCCAGGTCTGGGCCTGAAGAAGGGAGGACACGGCGGCTCTGGGGCTCCTAGACTCATCGGGAGCACTGCCTTGAAGGCAGCTCTCCTCATTCACAAGAATCTGAGCTCCCTCAACGGTTGTTGCCCAGAGGATCCCCCACCCATTGGCTAGGGAGCGGGCTGGGAGGCCTCCCCTTACTGGCTCTGCCCTGAAACAGGACTAGAACACAACCCAGGGGCCTTTCTTCCTATCTCAGTCTCGATTAGGAGGAGGTGGCCCTCAGCCCAAGGTCTGCCCCTGCTCTTTGTCATGAGCATCGTTTTCCCCAGTTCAGGACTGCCTCTTTGAGGGCACAGGTCAGTTGCAAACAGGATGCCATTCTGCCAGCCAGAGTCCCCCCAGCTGGGGTGACAAAAAGCTGAAGGAGAGCCGTGTGAGTCCCTGCTGCCTTCCATCTCACCCACACTGGCTCCCAGGCTCCCCGTGTGCTCACCCTCCCGCCAGCCACCTCCTTCCACTTTGCAGTGGTGGGAGGCTGAGCTTTGCAGCCTAGGGACTTGGTTTTTCCAAATTTTCCATTACAAGAGAGCCAGGATTTTTATCGTGGAGAATTCTCCCTTGGGTCTTTTTGCTTTTAATCACCTGCTCTCCACTAACTCTGCTCACAGACCTTCATCAGGAGCTCATCCCGAGGGAAGGGCTAGGGTGATGATGTCTGTGCACAGACAGATGGAGCACGAGTGTTCCTGGGACCACTTAGCAGCTGGTTTTAAAAAGTGAGTCCTTTTCTGAACTTGATTTCTTACATAAAGCATGAACTAATTTCATATCTTGAAAGTTCTATTGTCACTTCTCCAATCTTTTTTTTTTTTTTAAAGATCTTAAAGATCTTTATTTGTGATGTTAGAATCAGGCAACATTTCATTCCATAAAATAGAATAAATGTCCCTGCTCCTGTATTCTTGCCCTTTATCTACTCTCCAGTCCTTTTCCTTCTCTTTCTCTCTTTTTTTGCTATAGGGCATGTGCTCTCACCAGACAGAGACAGAGAGAGAAAATGAGAAAGCATCACCCCCAGAGAGGATGACCATGCTGCAGTCCCTTCTCCTCCATTCTCCTCTCTGGATTTTGGGCACACATGGCACACGTGCCTGGCATATTTTTCAAGCCTTTCGGTCTGGGACTTGAACCATGTGATCAGCCATGTGGGTTCAGCCACCTTCACCACACGCCACCTAGCTGTCCCTTCTCGCTTTATTTTTGCAAGTAGAGAAACTGAAGCACTGGGAAGGAAGTTATTTAGGACTGACCAGACTTTGGGTACAGAGTCAGGGGCTCGGGTTTGAAAACCAGCTCTGCCACCTGCTAGCCATCAGGAAGTCACTTGACCTCACTAAGCACATTTCCTCTTCTGTAAATTAGACTAATACTACTGAATTTTATTGTAATGATTAGGGGAGAAAACGCCTATGAAAATTCCAGACGTGTAGTTGCTACTTGCTTGCTTTATTTATTTTATTATTATTTTTTCAACACAGAACTTTACATTTTTCTGTCTGTCAAATGTTTCTTCTCCTTGCAGCTCACACCGACCCTTCACCATCATTCTCTAGGTACTTTCTTTAAAAGTTATTTTTATTTAACTTTATTTACGTATTTATTTCTTTATTTTTAATTTGACCAGAGAGGGACAGAGGACAGAGTGAGAGTGAGAGAGAGAGAGAGAGGGAGAGAGAGCGTGAGAGAGAGAGAGGGAAAGTGAGAAAGCAAGTCGCCAGGTCCAGGACTCAAACTGTAGTCAGCCATGTGGGAGTCCAGCGCCCTTAACCATGATGCTACCTGCCGGCTCCTCCCTAGGTACTTCTTAATACTGATTTGTTTCCTCCTGTGTCTATAACCCCGGTCATCCCCCACACTTGTTCTTGTTGGTTCACAGTCTACTTCTCCCTCTACCTGTCAGTCTGATCTGTGGGCAGAGCTCCCTCCTCCGAACTGCCCTGTCCACAGACATCGACGTCCAAGCTGTTTAGTTGTGGATCTTGGCTTTTTCTGTTTCTCCTCAGAGAGTGATGGTCATTCTCCATCATCGTGGGCTGGATTTACAGAGCAAGAGAGGCAACCCAAAGCAGTAAGAGGTGAAGAAGGCCTAACCACCTCCTTCTCCCCATGATCTGTGACAAATTTCCTGGGACCAGACCAACCATGGCCATTGATTCATAGTCTTGTAGAGAGTGTAAACTGTCTCCTTTGTCCCTGATCACTGACCTCAGTTATTCTTTTTTTTTTTTTCCTTCCATACCAAGGGAAGCCTTCACCCTGGAGATACAGAGCAAATGGAGGGGGCCTGATGATGGGGTAGGATAGCATCATGGTAAATCGAGGGGATTAACATGACCCCTCCTAGAGGCAACAATTTCCAGATTCTCCTGGGTGACATTCATGTGGGCCTCTGCCTTCTCAATATATGTCCCAAGAAGCATTGCTTGGTGGAGGACTGGCCTGGTTACCCAAGTGATTGGTTCAAGGTAGCAGAAGATCAGTCAGTGGGGTGCTCACTGTCGGCTCTTTGGGTCTCTAAAGCACTAAGAGAGTTGGAGGCAGAGTGGCGGTAAAAGCCTTTCCAAACCCCAGCAGATATCCCACCTTCCTTTGGCTGGGTCAGCAGTGGAAGGTTGTCCTCTGTGCTTCTCTGAGCTGATGAGTTGCAGCAGGGACATCTGATAGTCATAGACCGTGACTTACCCAGACTTGGGTTCTGAGAGTGGTGCTGTGCTGTTCCCGGGTCTGTCTGTCTTTTGCATGGAGGAAGAAGAACAAATGGGCTCTCTAACTGAGCTTGTAGGGTGTCCTGGCCAGAAGGTCTGAGTCCCAGCTTCTTTCCATGGGCCCCTCCAGTGTGGGCCTAAGGAAGGGCAGCAACTTGTGTCCCCTCCCCTTGGAACAGTCTCCTGTCCCAGAATCCATCTTGAATCTTGTGTGGGTGTTTCTGGGTAATGCTAAGAAGCCAAGAATCCTAGCGGAAAAAAAAAAAAAAAAAAAAGTAGCTTCTGTAAACCATTGAGTGAGTAAAACTTCAGGAGGGTTGGAATTCTTCATGTTGGAAATGACTTTTTCACTTGGATCAGGAGTGGCTCCATTCAGAAAAGTAGGGTTTGCAAATTCCCTGAATAGTAATTAGACTTTTTGGAAAATGAAATCTGAGAAAACTTTCAGGCACTCAGTTGAAATCATCTTTGCTTGTAATATCTTAGAAGAGGTCCTGGACTTGTTGGCAAATGTGGGTGAAAATCCCAACTCTGCCACTTCTAAGTTCTGTGTTCATAGCAGATCACTTTACCTGTCCAACTTCAGTTTCCAGTACTCACTTTGCAGAGAGGATCTGAAGGACCTTTGGGATTTGTAATGCAAATAACTGCTAAGCTATGGACAGCTGAACAGTTTTGAAAGTGTGTTAAGGGAAGACTTTAGGATTTCTCTTGGACTTGGCTTTCTATTAGTAGTTCTTGCAGAGCTGTTTGGAAGTCAGTGTTTGCATGCTCTACCAACTAGCAGCTTCTCGGCCCAAAGCCTGGATCCATTGTCCTGGAAGCCTTGGACTGCTTCTGGATGTTTGGAATGCTCTCCTTGCTGGTGAGTAGATTTCTGGGACTCTGATTGTGACTGATGAGGTTGCTCGGACTATAGATAGGGCAGTCCTAGTCAGGGGGCCCAGAAATTTGCTCTAGAGTGAGAAGGGTCCCTAGGGAACTAGCGTCTGTCACTAGAGTGGGAGGTCCACCTAGGACAGTGCCAGGGGGAGAGCGAGCCGTGCGTGAGAGCCAGCGCCAGGGCTTGGGGGCCCTGTGTTTGCTCTGTGGCTGGCTCTGTTTATATCGCTCGCTATATTTAGCTTCTGAGTCATCAGCGTGGCAGACTAGAGGCTGAGTTCCCCACACGCTCTGCACCTGACTGCTCACTCTTCCAGGAGAAGGGTCTTGTAGTTCCGGACAGTTCATTCCCTCCCCATCAAAAGCCAGGTCAGAGGATGGGAGTTGGCTTTCTTGTTTTGTTTTGTTTTGTTTTGTTTGCGGGGGTTTGGCACAAAGAAAGAAGGATAAAGAAAAATATCTGGTTTGCCTTTTGATCTATGTCAGCAGCCCAAAGGCATGGTCCGTGACCAGAGCAAGAAAAGTGTGCCTGTGTTCAGAGGAGAGGAGGGTTCCAACCTTCTTTCTTACTCAGTTTTCCTTATTCTATCCAGGAAACTGGGCCCAGCTGGACAAAAACAGTCAGCTGCAGGGACCCCAAGATGAGAGTCAGAGCCTTAGGGTTCCTTCTTCAAACCTGATGGACCCCTATCATCCCTGCTCCTTCTCAGTTCCCATCACCTTTGACCAGGGCACGCACTGCTGTTCCCACTTGAGCTCTCAAGAAGTCACCCAGGAGTTTGAAGGAACTGTTCTTGGGTTGAAGGAAACTGAAACATAGAGTGATCCGTGGGGAAACTGGGTAGGGAGGGCTCAGTAGTTCCTGCCTCAGGCCATGGAGGGACAGGACAGGGGTCTGAAGACATGGGTGGTACAACCCTGCCCTCATCCCCAGCCCTCAGCCCCAATGTCTGGAACACATGTCCCCAATCATGGTAGAGGAAGCCCTGAGAACTAAGAACCTGCTGACCCTAGACTGCCCTCCCTTCCTTGAAGAAATGATTGGCGTTGCCATGGTGCCACACACCATTGGCTGGGCTGAGGAAGCTCTTAGCAAGGAGTACTTTTTTCCTTTTCCATTTTGCCATGTTATTGTTACTTGGGTGTCTGGGTCAGAGCGATCTGGGGCAGTGGACTTGCTGGGCCCAAGGGGCTGTTCCCTGGGTTTCAGAATTCCTGGCTCAGCCTGGCAGCCCAGTAGCCTCTGGCTGCCGTGGCCAATCTCAGAGTGGGAAGTTGGGGATCACCCCAGGATGTCATGGATCTATTCAGAAGATGGTGCTCCTGCAGCAGGCCCGAGTGCAGAGCATGTGGAAGGAAGTGCCCAGCAAGGTGAGGTAGGTGCCAAGTTTCCTTATGTTCTCCACGGAAGGGCCAGCCTGCTCAGTGCTGCCAAGGCCCAGTGCTTTGCGTATATTCTCATTTAATCACCACAGCATATATTTCTTTTTAATTTATTTTATTTTATTTATCCATTCATTCATTTTTTTATTTTGACCAGAGAGAGACAGAGATTGAGAGTGAGAGAGAGAGGAAGTGAGAAAGCAAGCCACCAGATTCAGGACTTGAACCCTGGTCGGCCATGTGGGAGTGTCCAGCCCCTTAACCACCACGCCACCTGCTGGTCCCCCACAGCATGTATTTCTAGACCTCCACTATCCTCATTTTATAAGAAATTGAGGCTCAAAGAAACGACATAGTATGCCCAGATTGCACCCTAATTGACCGAACTGAGATCACGCAGATTGGATTGATTCTAACCATGATCTTCCCACTACGCCGTACCTGCTCCTCGGCACACACATTCCAGAAGGCAAAAGTACAACAATAAATGAGAGCTCTCATTTATTGTTCCACCCCAGTTCTGCCTCGCGTATACTTCTGTGTTTTTGCTTTTCTCCCCATTAGACTGTAAAAGAGTTGAGAACAAGATTTATATTTTAAGTACTGTTGTATCTTCCTTAACTCTTAGCCCAGTTAATACATGATAGAAGCTTGCTAAATTGAGCAAAAACATCTTCCCAACTTCTAAGTGGAGTTTTCCTAAAGTCTCTTATCTCCATGTTCCTGTTCTCAGCTGCAGGCCTTCAGGCCTTCAGGCCTTTAGCCTTGGCCTGGGTGGGTTTAGAGTATGATGGGAAGAGAAGAGGTAGGAAAGCATCAGTTTATAGAATATTCATCGCTCTCTCAGGCAGCGTATACACAATTATGCATTTTAAAGAAACTGAGCGTGGTTTTAGAACATGATCTGAAGTCATGATTTTCAGACCAGTTTTAGCTTTATTTCTGTTTGATCTTCGGTTAGCTCCACCTCTGGAAGGTTGTTTTTTTTCTGGTCCACAGCATCTTTACCGATAAAGATTACTAAATAGTTAATGATTTGGAAACAATGTCTTTAAACATAACTAGGGGAAAAGTTCAGTAGTAATTTGCTTACTGGGACCAGCAGTTAGCATAATGGCTATGTCGCTGGACTCCCATGTAGTCAACCGCGGTTCAAGTCCTGGACCTGGTGGCTTAAAACTCACTCCTGGCGCATGTGCGTGCATGTACGTGCGTGCCCAAGATCCCAAGAGGAGAATGGAGGAGAAGGGATTGCAGCGTGGCCATCCTCCCTGGGGGGTGATTTCTCGTTTTCTGTCTCTCTGTCTCTGTCTGTCTGGCGAGCGCACACGCCCTATAGCAAAAACCTCTCAAAAAAAAAAAAAAAAAGGTAATACTGTTTTCAGAATGTGAATAAACACACTCTAATATCTTAGTGGAAAAAAAAACAACATAGTTTTGGAGTCAGGAGTCAGGGACTCCTCCCTCTCCGACAAACTTGCCTGGGTGATTTCTCTGAGCCCTGGCTTTCATTTGTCAAATGGGATTGAAATAATTAATGCCATTCCTGTGTCTCAAATGTGTGAGGATCAAATGAGAAAATA